CATACATTGTTTTGTGTGGGAGGAGGTAGGGGATGTACTCCACGGTTTAGGGGAAGATAGTGGATGGACCTCTAAACCGGATTTTTGTTTGGGAGGAGATAGGGGATGGGTCCTTTTGAGATCCTTGAGAGGATTGGCGAGGTTGCTTATCGGTTAGCTTTACCGCCGCAGTTGTCCGGAGTACATGACGTGTTTCATGTGAGTATGCTTCGGAAGTATGAGCCGGATCCATCACATGTATTGGATTGGACCGATTTAGTAGTTGATGAGGATGTCTCGTATGAGGAGAGACCGGTTAGGGTCTTGGATAAGCGGGATCAAGTCTTGCGAGGCAAGACCATTCCTTTGGTGAAAGTTTTGTGGAAACATCACGGGGTGGAGGAAGCCACATGGGAACGTGAGTTGGAAGTCCGCGAGAAATATCCGGACATGTTTATTGATTTGTAATCTTGTAGTTTGATTTTGTAATATTGTCAAACTTTAAAGTTTTTTTATATATGTCTTAAGCTGTAAAACATTTAGAATGTTTTGGTTAATGGAAATATTTTGGAACTTGCCTCGAAATCTTATATTATTTCCACTAGGTTTCTACTGGGCTGTGGCTCACCCTTTATGGGAACATCATTTTCAGGTTCAGGTGATAAGCTACCTCCACGGAATTAGTCTGGAAGGATTTGATGTTTGGGGATTTTGAAGACTTGTCTTTAGTTACATGTTTTATTTTGATATTTTTTTGAGATTTCATGTAAACATTAAAGCCTAGGGCTTAACTTGTAAATGAGTTAGTACTCATCCTTTTTGTGTCCAAGTGTTAGCTTGGAAAGATGTAAGCCCTTAGGGCATTTATTTTGATGTTGCAGGATGTTACATGTGATGTCTTTCAATAAGAATACTCTGATGAATAACTCAAATGATTCGTTTTCTTTTATAGCTGCATGTTAATGTTATGGTTATTATGGGTTTATTTTGAGGGTGTTACAAAATTTGTGACAAATTAAAAAAATAATAAATAAATTGTGAGATTAAAAATGTAAAAGATTTATTATTTTGGGACATTTACACACATGTCTTGATTTTTGAACCTATAATCCATTAAGTCCTAATTAAGATTTTTTAGACTTTCGAGTCCCAATAAATTTTTAATAGTCGGAATTGCCCTTTAAACAATGAGTGTTCATCATTTATGATTATCTATAAACGAACATGATGATTTGAGATTTGTTTTGATTTTCAAAACTTTAAACCATCAACTTTCAAATTGAAAAAAAAAAATTATGTGCAAAAAAAATTAATCACCATGCTTGTTTCTGGTTTTTTGGAAACACTTTTCAGAAAATTTTACTTTCTTGCTTCTGTATTTTTTTATTTTTACTGAATTTTTTAATATTTTAAGAAATTTTTTTAATTTTTAGACACACCTAACATAAATAGACTTAAAAGGTATAATTTTTGTGAAAAAAATCTTTAAAAAATTCACTACATACAAAAAAATATAAAAATTTAATACATTGTCATTTTTTTATTGATTTTTATTTTTCATAAATTTTTTACATTTTAAGTATAGTTAAATTAAGTGTATCTAAAAAAAACAAATAACTCCAAACCGTTTTCAAAAAATGAAATCAAATAAAATTGAAAGCTGAGAAGTTGATGTAGATGCTAAAGTGAGACGCAAAAGGGAGAATCATAACCGCCGAAGTGGCCAATCAGAGCAACATGCAATGCACCAATCAAAACATACAGCCAATTCCCACGTTTTGAGACCCGACCCATCTGGAAAAACTCCCACATTACACTTCAACACAAAAATTATTCGGTGTTACTGGGTGCAACATACTCATGTTTCTTCTCACCAATCACTTATACATCATGTTTTTTTGTTATTTTTTAATTATTCAATATAAAATTATAAATTTTCATTTTATAATCAGTCACAACAATTCTAAACACCACGTAACTGGGCCCGAAGACCACCAAATAACTTCTTCAAATGTAGAGCACAGCGCACAAGCCACTTCCACTTCCCAATCCCCACAGAGAGAATGCAGAGTCGAAACGAAAACCAACACGCCTCAGAGCTTCCATGTACGTTCCATGTACGTTCTACACTTCCTTCTTCACTCACAGTCTATATCTATATCTATATATGCATGAGCTTTGTTATGTATACATTTTATTTTTTTATCCTGGAGTTTTCAGTTTCAGAATTTGGGTGATCAAACCAATTTTGGCTACATTTGCACATGTATGTATGTATCTTGATATATATACATATACTTATTTAGTTATTTTGAATGTGAGCTTTCTTTTCTATTGTATGAATTTTATTTATTTATTTATTTATTTTTGATAAATTGTTGTTGACATTTGGTAGAATTGAGAGTTTCTAATTGGGTTAAGGCCTATTTTGATAACTAGGAAAAAGCCGATTTATTGGCTTATTTGGATCACATCAGTTCTCTATTTTTTTGCACCTTTTTTTAAATAATAATAATAAAAAAAAAGAAGAAGAAGCCAATAAGCGGGTTTATTCCTAATTTCCAAAACACTATATAACTAAATTCTTATGCCACTGGATTAGTTTTTCTTTAATCTGTTTATTAATTTTAGTTGCTTTGATCAATGTGGATCACTGGGTTTTTTTTTTTTTTAGTTTTACTCTTGAAAATTAATTGGAAATGTGTTTGTTCTTTTTTCTATTATTTTTGTCTGGGATTTATGTTTTTCATGAGGAAGAGTAGTTTTCAAAAAAGCCTGTAAAGATATCTGATTTCTTTGCAAATTGTTATGTACATGACTAATTATTTTTTGGACATTTTTTTTTCTTTTGCAAGATGAACCCGGTAAACAGGTCAAGAGCGCAATTTTGATAAAAAACACAAGCAAGTCTCGTGTAGCTTTCAAGGTATGGAATTTATGCCTTTGTCCATTACCTGTTCTTTCGTGGCTTGATGTTAACAGTTGGCTTTTGTTAGCTATTGTCATTCATGTTATTACCCAGATTATAATTTCGATTAATTTGCAACTAGTTTCCATTACCTGTTCTTTCGTGGCTTGATGTTAACAGTTGACTTACCACCATTTGCACAATGTTCATTTCGTGCCTGATGTGTTTGCATATTGCTCATTCTCTGCACACTTACATGTTTGCAAGATGTTTGATTCGTCTTCTCCCAAAATTTCATTGAGAGGGTGTCATTATCATGATCCATTTTTACATGATGTGTCATTTCGTGCATTTTTCAGCAAAGTCACACTACCAATAATTTAGTATGGCTGCATACTTGGTGAATTTGCATAATGTGTCATTTTGTGCAAACTTAAACAACCATTTTCCGGCAATAATTTAATATCCAAGTTCAAGTTTGACACTTCAACAATTTCATGATCCAACTTGGGGTGGGGGTGGGGGGTTTGTGTGTGTGAGTGTCGAAGATAAAAACACATTGAAGATAGAATCTCATGATTTATGGTTGCATAATTTTTGGCTTGATTTTATCTCCAACCGCTAGTCTAGAATTATAAAAATTATGGAAAATGATAGCGATTCACCCTATATATATGGGCGTTATTGATGTAAACAAATCATTCAAGAGTAAATAGAAGAAGAGCTTGCAGTGACTCTGTTATTTTCTTCTCTTTCCAAACCAAACCAAACCAAGCCAAACCTTAGGTCCCATCAAATGGGTCAGCTACATGAATCCCCTTCTCCACTCAATTCTATCAAAGGCCATTTGATTAGTAAAAAGAAAGAGATTCATATTTCTATTTACTACACTAGCCCACATCAATCTAAGTCTGCCCCTTCCCCTAACACTTTCATCTACCGTCACTTTATTGCATCTCTTCACTACTGCCTCCACTGGTCTTCATTGTATATGACCAAACCATCTCAATCCATTCTTTCTCAGCTTATCATCTTTCTCAACTTATGGAAGACAAAATTTGACAACAACTGACCAACCTTAAACACACAACATTACCAAACAGGTCATGAATTAAGTAGTGACTTGAAAGCAATTTATGTGTTCGTATTAATGCTAATAGTCCTAAAAATTTAAGCTTTTAGCACAGCAAATAAGGGTATAGAAAATTTCATAAAGCCACAATCCAAAACAACCAAACTGTTACATTCCACAAACCAACTTGGTAAAAGCACTTAAACATCAAACAGTAAATTAATTGAACCAAATTGAGCATCATGAGAGTAGAGCACTAACAACGGACAAAGTGGTTGGCTAATGACTACAAAATAAAAAATGATGAAAAAATATAGAGAAAAATTAGAAAATTACCATGAAAGACGACAAAAGGTAGAGAACATGTGGTTGTTAGTGTACAAGTCAAAGTGAAGATAAATAATTCCATGGCTTGGTTTGAACTTAGAGTTACTAAAGAACATATCAAGTGTGATGCTGTTACATGATAAGTCAAGTACTGTGTACAAAGATCTCTCCTAAAAACTTAATGGATGGATAGAGGAAAGAATTAGTAACTCTAAGTTCACCTTCTCTTTAAAATGAAGGCCATAAAAATAAGAAAATAGAAGAAATGAAAGGAAGAACAAATAATATTGTGCCTGATTATCTTCTTTTCCAATTATATTGTTATTAGAGAAATCTGAAGCCACAGTTACACACCATAATCAATATTGCCTCTATAAACAGTCCAATCAACTAAGATTCTTTTTATTTCTTCAAAAATAACTAGTTTCCTAAATGAGCAAATTTTCTTTTATTCCTTTTAATGTACTAATGTTGTAAACTTGTTAGAAACCATTTTTTTTTTCTACTCTATCCTTTCCCATAATACTTCCATCTTAATCTATGTTATATACTTGGAGAACTAAGGAAAGATTAGAGATAGACAACGTCATATGATTTTCTTTGTATTATACACATTGTGCATTCCTAAATGGAATAGGTTAATAGTACACATGATGCGTTTTATGACATAAACAAATTAAAAAAAAAAACTTGATCTTTCATTTGTGATCAGACATGGACAAGAGTTGGATTGCATTGGGTAAGACACCTGATGGAAGGATGAGTCAGCCATTTATTGATGGGGTGACATCATTTATCAAATTTGCAATGGCAGTTGTTGACCAGGAAGGTAAAATTCCGTGCCCATGTTTGAACAGTGTGAACTATTATTCCCAAAATCTTCGAAATGTGCAAATTCATTTGCTTCAATATGGGATTATGCAAACGTACACTATTTGGCATGAGCACGGGGAACCACGTGTATCAAATGAGGCTCATCATGAAATGGCAATTGATGAAGATGAGGTTTTAGGTGGTATTGATGCCTTAGTGGAAGATCGAATAAGAGGAGAACCCAACGATGCACCCCAGAATGAGGAAGTACAAACGTTTGATAAACTATTGAATGATGCCAAACGTGAGGTGTACTTAGGTTGCACAAACTACACTCTGTTGAAGTTTGTCATCGAGCTGCTTAATATGAAGGTAACAAACCACTGGAGCAATAAGTCGGTTAACACACTATTGGAGTTTTTAACAAAACTTTTACCAAAAGATAATTTGGTTCCAAAGTCATTTTATGAAGCTAAGAAAATACTTCGAGATTTGGGCTTGTCATATGAGTTAATTGATGCTTGTATAAATGATTGTGTACTCTTTTGGAAGGAAAATGCAAGGTTAGATAAATGTCCAAAATGTAAGGCATCCAGATACAAGATCAATCGTGGCAGGGGTAAGAAGATTCCCCATAAGGTGTTGCGGTACTTCCCATTAACACCAAGGTTGAAAAGATTGTACATGTCAAGAAAGACTGCTGAGGACATGAGATGGCACAAGGAGAAACGTATAGATGACGGAGTATTGAGACATCCCGCCGATAGTGATGAATGGAAGGAATTTGATGTGCAACATCCTCAGTTTGCCCTGGAGCCTCGAAATGTAAGGCTAGGGTTGGCTGTTGATGGGTTCAATCCTTTCGGGAACATGAGCAACTCGTATAGTTTATGGCCTGTAGTACTCATTCCTTATAACTTGCCACCTTGGTTGGTTATGAAAGATCCCTTTCTTATGATGTCACTACTTATTCCTGGAGAATCACAACCAGGGATCGATATTGATGTCTACATGAGACCTCTGGTGGATGAGTTGAATGAGTTGTGGGAAAATGGTGCATTATCTTACGATGCCGTAACTGGTGAGTCTTTCCAGATGCGTGCAGCTTTGATGTGGACTATACACGATTGGCCCGCATTTGGTGACATATCTGGGTGGAGAACAAAGGGTCATTATTCTTGCTACACTTGCAATGATGAACCATATTTTCAATCCTTGAAAGGTAAGACTGCATACACTAACCATCGATGCTACTTGCCTCAAAACCACCCCGAAAGGCGAAAGAGTAAGGCTTACAATGGTAAGCATGAGAAGCAAAAGAGATCTTTAAAGTTACCAGTGGAAAAGATATTAGAGCAATTGGACAGAGTGACAGGTGTCACATATGAGAAGCATCCAAGAAACAAGAAAAGACTCCGTCAGGCACCAAATTGGACAAAGGTAAGCATCTTGTATGAGTTACCATACTGGAAGAAACGGAAGCTTCGACACAACATTGATGTTATGCACGTCGAGAAGAATTTTAGTGAAAATACTTTTGGAACTATGTTAGGCATTGATGGAAAGAACAAAGACACCGACAAAGCACGGATGGACTTGGAAGATATGGGTATAAGGAAAGAGTTGTGGTTAACACGTCGTCCTGATGGAACTTATGTCAAACCTAGGGCAATCTTTTCATTGACCCCTGAAGAGAGGGAGGGTTTTTTTGAATTCTTGAAATCAGTGAAGTATCCGGATGGCTATGCTGCAAACATATCAAGATCAGTGAATGCGAGAAATGGTAAATTAACAAGCTTGAAAAGTCATGACTGCCATGTACTCATACAACGGATTTTTCCAATTGGGATGCGTGGTTACGTAGACAAAGAGATTAGTAAAACACTATTTGAGTTAGGTAGCTTTTTCCAGGATTTGTGCTCAAAGACACTGCGCCGTAATGAACTTGAGAAATTAGAGGAACATATAGTACACATATTATGCAAGCTTGAAAAGATCTTTCCCCCAGCTTCTTTGATGTAATGGTTCACTTGGTCGTTCACTTGCCGCGTGAGGCTATTCTTGGAGGACCGGTGCAATATCGATGGATGTACCGGATTGAAAGGTAATTGTTAAATTGAAAGGTTCCTAATTATATGTTGCATGTGTAACCTTGCTCTTAACTAATTCTCTTTTCAAGGTTTCTCGGAACTTTAAAAAAGTTTGTTACAAACCGAGGTCGACCAAAAGGTTCAATCGCAGAGGCTTACATTGTCAAAGAGTGCGTTACTTTTTGTTTAATGTATGTTGATGGGATCGAAACAGTGCATAATCGACCCGAACGAAATCAAGATCGTGGCGAACGTCACAAAGGGTTAATTGTATTCACAGAAATTGCCCGTCCTATTGGCCTAATCACAAGGGATGCTGATATGTCACAAGAATATCGTGATATGGCTCATTGGTTCTTGTTGAACAATAGCCCCGAGATAGAGAAGTATCTAGAGTATGTTTTTCATTTAATATGTGTATTCTTAGCTTTGTTAATGTAGTTAGCAGTGCATAATAATCACATTCTTTTGAGTAGGATACACAAAAATCTATTACGGACTCCATCTGACCAAGGCATAACCCGTATACAACAACAAGAGTTTCCCAAGTGGTTCAAAGAGCGGGTAAGGCATTTTCAATTTTAAGACATGATTAAAAATTTGTATAAGATTTGATCATTTATTAATTTATTTTTACTATCTTAATGTACGTTATATGTGAATGTAGATAAATATATTGAGAGAAGAAAAGTCACCAGAAGCACCCAATGATTTATGGTCGTTAGCAAATGGCCCAAATTTACTAGTAAAAGAGTACTCAGGTTGCATAATCAATAGCGTACGGTTTCGTACAAGAGAAGTAGACAATCGCCGTAACAGTCAGAATAGTGGTGTGCTTACGGAAGGGGATCATGAGGGAGTGACGCATGAATTTTATGGTCACTTGTGCAATGTTTGGGAATTGGAGTACATGTGTCATAACAAAGTTGTATTGTTCCAGTGTGAATGGTACAACACAGGAAATACAGGTCGAAGTAGAACATTGCGAACCGATGATTATTGCACAAGCATTGATGTCACAAGTCGGTGGTATCAACACGACCCTTTCATCTTGCCTAGCCAGGCTAAGCAAGTCTTTTACCTAAATGATACCAAATGGGGACAACCTTGGCAAGTCGTTCAACGAGTGCAACATAGGGGTGTCTTTGATGTACCAGAGGTAGGTGATGGAGAATCATTACATGAACCAGAAGAAAACGATGTGTTCCAACAAGAAAATATTACCGATGTTGTTCCAATTGACATCGGCCCTAATGTTCAATGTTATAGAGATGGTGTTGAAGCAGAAGTTGTTACAAGGGTTAGGTCATCTGATGAAACAATGATACAGAAAAGAGCTGACAAACAAAATGAAGAGTGTGACGAACCTGATGTGGATTACGATATGGATCTTGATGTAGACTAGGATTTGTAGTTATTTTGCACTTTCTATATGAACATTGTTCTTAATTAATGTAGTTGAATTTCAGTTGTGGGGTTCATCCACTGTTATGTAGGTTTATCATTGATTGGTCATATTGTGTATCTGATGGCTTTGTAATTAATTTGTTCTATGATAAGTAAATGGTAAAAACAAAAATCATCCATATCACTCTAGCCATATTTCAATGATTTAGAGCCTATATGACATATCCACTTGTTGAGATTGTTGTTGGTTTATGCTTTATGTATAGAAATATATAATTATCTTTTCTTTACATCTAATGTTCAATTATGCGTATCCACCAAAAAAATGTTCAATTATGCTTTATAGTTGGGCAAAATGGACGCTACAAAAAAAGCAATTGACCAAACCAAGTACCGCAACTAAGAAGGTAACGAACTATGAGAAACAAAGAATGAAGAATATTAATAAAAACCGTGAGAGAATGAATGCTCTAGGAGTGAAGAATATAACAACTTGTTTGAAGGCTACGGTTCAACATAAGAAATTAAGGAAGGAAAAACAAATACCAATTGAGGAAAATGATGATGATTATCGACCGTCAGAGGCTGAAGATGGCAGTGACACTGAAACCTATGATTCGTTTGAGCATGAGGTACTATACATTTATGCATTGTGAAATATATTCTTTCTTGTTACTTTCAATTCATACACACATAGACATGTATATCTTTGTACATATATTCATATTTTATTATGTCATTCAGCTGTTAGAGATACCATCGAGAGCCCATTCATAATCTCATCATGAGGCATTGACCCACGCATTAGAAGAGGGGGATACCTCTTCACGTCCTGAGGTGACTAGCAATCCGCCACCACCTCTCAATGTGGAGCCTCAACTTGAGGTGACTGTTGGTAATACTATTGGTAAGACACACTTTACATTGATTTGAGATCTTAATTAAATTTGTTCACATACTATTTCAATATTATGGCTTCACAATATCAGCTGCTAAGCGTGCTCATGGCCCGACTCGAGGCAAAGAGGTTCAAGGCCTTGTTGATAAAGATGGAAAGCTTAGCGTGCCTATCCCTCCAGAATTTCGTGCACCGGTAGGGGACTATGCCTCAAAACTAGCCTCAAAGATTGGTGTAGAAGTGCAAACTCGTTTACCAAATCCAAGTGTTCGTAGGTGGAAGTATGTTGATGCCTCCGTTAAGGAGGCGATGTTTCAATGCTTGAATGTAAGTTCGTTGTCTACTTATAGGAGATTTTACTCATTTTTATAATAGGTTAGAAATCTTAATTATTTATTGTAATTATTTTATTTTTTATAAGAATTATCTATGACTTATCTATTTTTTGCAGGATCAATTTGATTTACAAGGAGACCCTGTTGATATAGAGAAGGCAATGAACACAAAATTTGGTCGGAGATTGAGTAACCATACCTATAGGCTGCACAAACAATTCATGGAGCTGAAGGAGGCTAAAGGGGAGGAGTATGCAAGAAACCACCCACCAAAGAATGTCGATCCTACCAAGTGGATAGATCTTATTGATAAAAAGTGGAACACTAAAGAATTTCTGGTAACATTTTCATCTTTTTTATTATATCAGCGAAGAAAGAATTTGATTAGAATAGGGGAATGAAAAGAAAAAAAAAATAGTTTTTATCTTTGGCAACCAAAAGTTTGGTCGCCAAAAGTATATTTATAGCGACAAAATAATATTTTAGTCGCCAAAAACCTAAAATATGTGGAGGGAGGAGATTTCAAATTTCAGACGAATTAAAAAAATTATTAGCGACTAAAAGTATTTAGTCGGTAATGGTGTAATATATCTATCTATCTATCTATACTATTACTAGCGGTTGCCACACGCGATGCGTGTGCAATTCAAATAAATAGAAATAAAATAAAACATTTATCATATATTTTGTGTTAGTTAAGTGGTAAGAGTCTTATTCATTTGATATAAGTCTAAGTTCAAATCTCCTCCTCTCATTTATCTAATCTAATTTTTTTTTTATTTCAAATAAAAAAGTAGACACGTGACAGCATAAGAAACAAAGGCTTCAAGACACCAGAAGGGGTGCTCACTTTATAATTAAAAAAGTAGACACACGTGGCAGCATAAGAAACAAAGGTTTCAAGACACCATAAGGGGTGCTCACTTTATAATTAGATTAGATAGATGAGAGGAGGGGATTTGAACTTTAGACTTATATCAAATGAATAAGACTCTTACCACTTAACTAACACACAATATATGATAAATGTTTTATTTTATTTCTATTTATTTGAATTGCACGCCCCATCAAGTGTAGCACCCGTTAGTGTATATATCTATCTATACTATTATAAAGTGAACACCTATTATGGTGTCTTGAACCTCCTTTACTCTCCTCATGCCATGTGGCAGTGTTTTTTAGTTTTTAAAAAAAAGTTAAACAAAGAGATGAGCAAGGCTAGAACCCATGACTATGGATTTAAGTATGAGAACTCATACCACTTAAGCTAAGTACACATTATAATATTAATTTCATTATTATTTTTTTTTATTCCTATTTATTTAAATTGCACACACATCGTGTGTGCCACCCACTAGTATATATTATATATCATCAATTAAAACATAGAGACGAAGAGAGAGAGAGAGAACAACGAACAGAGAGATAAAGAGGGAGAGAGACGAAGACGATTGAGAGAGTGATGAAGATGATCAAAGCCCTCAAAGATGAAGACGATCGTGATCAATAGTGAGAGAAGAGAGTGACGAAGACAATCAAAGCCCTAATCTCAGCACTGGTCCACTGTAAGTTCTCTCAACAATCCTTCTTCTTTCTCCTCTCATGTCGACGTTGAAGGCTAGGGTTTCTCTCTCTCTCTCTCCCCCATTTACGATCCCATCTTGGACTGAATCACGTTTCTCTCTCCACAGAAACGCGAGTCTTACACGTTTCTTTCTAGAAAATGCAGAATCGCGATTCTTACTCAGAATCGCCACCTAGTTGCACGATTCCTACAACTAAGGGACATACTTTTTGGTAAAGTATATTAACTTTAATATAACAAATTTTATAAAAGAATACATGTTTGAAGAATTAGGAAGTAATGGAAACATGCATATGACATCCAATTTGTACAGGTGCACATGATGTATAAATTGTGAATTAGTCTAAAAAATATATTTTTTTCTCTATACTTAAAGCTTAAAAAAAGGCTGTCGAAATGCTAAATTATCACACAATTATAGATTTGTACAAGAACCAATAGAAACACCTTAGGAGGGACCAATATAAGTTGTATGAACTTACGGCACATTAATGGGATGCACCATTTGTGAATTAGCCTAAAAATTAATTTTTTGTTCTCATAATCTAAAAAAAAGTCTGTTACAGGGATAAATTGTATAATTGATCTAATTGTAAATTGATGAGTTACTAATGTTTTTAATCTTTTGTATAATTGATTAATTACTAAAACTTTTAATTTATTTTTTTACAGATTGGATTGGGGTGACATTTTTGACGTGCAACAATGATGTAATTTGTTTGAATGTTCATTTTTGTTTGATAAGGATACACATACTTTTTGGAGTTACACTAGTTATTGTTGGATTTTTGGTGGAATTGAACAAGTTATAACTTTTGGATATTTTGTGGATATTTCACTATTTTATTATATCAGGATGAAATTATTTGTAATGATGAATGGATATTTTCATTTTGTTAATTCGTAAATGTGTTGATAACAGGTTAGGTTAAGTTGTGATGGAATTGTTATATTCAACAGGTTTCAACATGAACAGGGTCATATTTGTTGAACTAAAATTTAGATTTTGATAAAATAGGTATATAATGTGGAAAAAAATATTATGAAATTATAGACAAAATTTTCCATCCCTAAAGAAGGTTTTTTTGTCTCTTATTTGGCATAGGTGGATGATTAATTTTGTCATAAATTCTTTATTTCGTCGCTAAATGAATTTGTCATAACAAAAAATATTGTCACATTTTGTCACTATTACGCTCAATGTGTGACGAATTTTTTTTGACATTATTTCATCATTTTTAATGACGAATTTTTTTTTATCTCTATTGGTAGCTTCTTTGACAAAAAATTTTCGTCTTCGTTTATATTAAACGTGACAAAATTATTTTGTCTCCATTTCTTATATTTATGACAAAATACTTATGTCTCTAATTTCTCCTTTAATGACAAAATATTTTGTCGCTAATTACTTATAAGTATGTTCCCAACAGAGTGTATTGGAGACAAAAAAATCCGTCACAAATTTATCATTTTTAATGATGAATTTGTTTTTGTCTCTATTGGTAGCTTCTTTGACAAAAAAATTTCGTCTTCGTTTATATTAAACGTGACAAGATTATTTCGTCTCTATTTCTTATATTTATGACGAAATACTTTTGTCTCTAATTTCTTCTTAAATGACAAAATATTTTGTCGCTAATTACTTACAAGTATGTTCCCAACAAAGTGTATTGGAGACAAAAAAATTCGTCACAAATTTATCATTTTCAATGACGAATTTTTTTTTCGTCTCTAAGACCCTTTAGCGACGACCCTTTGGAGACAAAACGGGTGACGAAAAATGTTCGTCGTAATTAGTTTGGGTAACGAAATATATACATTTTGGGACAAATTTGTTTCGTTTTTAAATCCCAAATTTGTTGTAGTGATGGCAGAGATATTATTACACCACAATGTAGGGGAGCAAGAAAGAACATGCAGGTCAGAAAGAAGCATACCAAGTCAATTTAACTTAGCAGTAGTTTGAGCCAATGCCCTATACTCAGCTTCAGTAGAGGATCTAGCCACAGTAGATTGCTTTTTAGCAGACCACAACACCAAATTGGGACCAAGGAAAACACAGAACCCAGTAGTTGATCTCCTATCCAAAGAATCACCAGCCCGATCAGAGTCTTAAAAAGCATGCAGTGTAAGAGGACCAGGGCTAAATTGAAGACCATAACCAAGGGTGCCTTTGAGATATCTGAGAAGCCTTTTGACCATAACAAAATTTTGAACAAGTGGTTGGTGCATAAATTGACAAGCAAAATTCAGAGCAAAAGCAAGATCTGGTCTGGTGATGGTGAGGTATTGAAGACCTCCGACAATACTTCTGCAGAGAGAAGGATTGGAAAAAGGTAAATTATTAGTGGGAGAAGAGGAAACAGGGATGGCAATATCAACCCGGCCCGACGGGGACCCGGACCATCCCGTCCCGATAAATAGGGTTTTTCCCGAAAATTATTCCCCATAGGGCCGGGAACGGGGATAGATTTCTCAACCCCGGCCCCGGCCCAAAATTTCCCCGATGATCCCCGCCTCTATAACTCTTAGCTGTATTAGATAAATAAATATCTACTTTTATCTTATATTCTCTCTCAACTCTCTTACTGACTCAACTCTTTTACTCTTATCTTCTCTCTCAACTCTCTCTCTTCACTCTGTCGTTCTCAACTCTCACTCTCTCTCAACTCTTTCGTTCTTCTCTCTCTCTCACAGCTCTCTCACAGTCACCGTCATGGCGGCATCACCACCACCACCGCTGGCCCCGACCCTCTCTCTCTCTCTCTCTCTCTCTTCTCCTCGCTTCGGTTTCTCTTTCTCTCTCTCCACTTCGTCTCTCTCTATTCTTTAGCAGAAGGTCCGTCTCTCACCACCACCGAACCCACCGCCACAGCCACCGTCACCGTCGATCTCGCCATAGAGCCTGGTCATTGGCGTCGCTCAGATCTGTACCAGATGATGAAGGTGTACTCAGAGCAGATCTGTTAGATCTGTTAGATCTGTCCTCTCTCTCTCTCTGATCTGATGTTGTTGTTGATCTGTACTCAGATCTGTGTTGTTCAAATTTTTTTTTTTAATTTGTGTTAATTATATATGTTGATCTGTGTTGACAATTTGATGTTAATTTGTGTTAATAATTTTTTTTTAATCTGTGTTGATCTGTACTCAGTCTGATTAGTTAGTGGTTTGTTGAACAAATTTTTTTTCCAGATTTATGTTAAGTAACTCAGATCTATGTTTTGATTATTCAGTGGTTTGTTGAACAAAATTCGAAAAAAAAAAAGAAGCTCGGGGATATGTCGGGGTCGGGGAAACCCGATCCCCGTTAAGGGACGGGGACGGGAGGGTGATGGGCTCCCCCGCCGGGGATCGGGGGTGGGGGCAGGGATTTTGTAATCTTCGGGGATCGGGGACGGAGGGAGTAGTCCCCGGCCCCGCCCCGCCCCGTTGCCATTCCTAAGAGGAAACAAATTTAAGAGCCGTGGGGGAAGAGGGGCGGGGATTTTGTAATCTTCGGGGATCGGGGACGAGAGGAGTAGTCCCCGGCCCCGTCCCGCCCGTTGCCATTCCTAATCATTAGTGATACTATTAGAGCACCACTTTTAATGGTCTTAACCAAGGTTCTGAAAAGTGGTTGTGCTCGCCGTAACAGTGGCGGTGACGTGGTTGCGGTTGTGGGGTGTAAAGGCCAGAGCATAACGGTTGCGGTAACCGGAACCGTGAATTTTTTATTT